AAAACCAGTGAAAATGTTTGGGATAGAATGACCATTAGACTAACCAGAGGATCAAAATGTGATTCCTTAGCTCTTTCATTGTTTGTGAACACTTTATAATCCAGACTGTCAGTGTCTCAACTATTTGATGTCTGATGTCCAAAGCATAAACATTTTCTAGTATTTTGACTATTATAATTTATTTATTTTAGGTTATTAAAACCTAAAATACATGTAAAACCATAGCAGGGAATATTTCAGCTGTTATATTTCAGCTCCTGAATTATACATAAAACTATGATGTGGTAACCCAATAGGACTGATTTACTTAAGGGATAGAGGCTGTTCACTTAGGTTATAAAATCACATACAGAATAAATTAAAACACACAATTGGTTTTGGCTAAGCCATGCTTGGGTTTTCAATGTCACAACAGATTCACTCTTTTACTAACATTTACTTTGCATAGTGAATAGCCTCTACTACTTTAGTAAATCAATGCCACTGTCTGTATTAGACTCAATCTAATGTCCTGGCAAATACACCTATGTGACTTTTAGAAGATTTCTTACTAAGTTGTAGTGCAAATCTATTTGCATTATTCCTCTGGCCAACTGATCCAAATCCACCAAATTCTAAAGAGAAACTGTAAAATTTTGGGCTGCATCTGCTGTATATAATATTTGTACACAGCCATTTCAGTCTTGCTAGCTCTCATCAGTGTAAAATATGGAGATAACTGTATACAGGAATAATTTGAATGGCTCAATCCACCATCATTAAATGTAATTAAAAAACCTTGTTTGTTAGAACTGTGACAAATGATGTCATGTTAAATGTTTTTGAAAAGCAAAGCTGTATTTTACAGCATTTTAGTTTATATAATTCTCTGTATGTTGACTTATGAGGTGTTTTTGTCTAATCTCCATTAGCAATTTGAGTTTCTCCCTCTGCCATCTTAGAAGTGTACTCAGATATATTACCATAACCATCATGATGAACAGTAACCTACCCTGTAACACAAGGAGACCTTTTATTCATATCTCCACCCAGGTCCTAGTGGTAACTAAGCTAAAATCCCCATCATGTAAAAGTTCATTTAACTGTTTTCCCGTTTTTACCAAATTGTTACTAATTTGTATTATATGTGTATCCTTCCTTGCGAGTAGATTGTGAACCAAATTCTCCTTTTCCTGTGGCTATGGGAGAAATTGCTGACCCATGGGGAAATAGAGAGTTCACCATTGTTATAGACACTGAGGATATTGGGGATGAAAGATCCACAAATGGGGATCAGGACAAAGTACCCCGTCTTGGGTAGGACCCAGATCTTCTCTCCTGAAAGTAACCAAACATTTCTAGGATTTGACAGTGAAGGAAAGGAGGCAATATCTAATGTATATCTTACTCAACCTGTAAAAACCCTTATGAGTATGGCTGATTTCTTTGGCAAAATTAAATCTAATGAACACATTACTTCACATGCAACAAATGTACAACAAAGATGTGAGCTTCTAGGTGTGAGAAGTCCTAGTGACCAGGCTAAGGTGTTACAATTAACCCTTGACGCCCACACCTGGAATGCACTCCCAGATTTAATTAAGGAAGGAAAAGGGAGTTACAAAGAAACAGTGGCAGAATTGCAGAAGGTTATAAACCCCTCAGCCATAGGTTTGATGGTGGCATATCAAATTAAACAGGATACCGAGGAAAACCCTCTACTTTATGCCAATAGATTGTGGGCAGCATATACCACTAGTAATGGGAAAGCAACTCGGGAGGATATAGAATATAAAAACGTATTGATTCACAATGCCCATCCAGCTATTCGAGTAAAATGTGAACATTTGATAGATCCCAGAAAACACAGCTATGAGGAAGTGATCGCATTAATACATAGATAATTTCAAGCAATCCAATCATATAAACAACCCAGGCTTAAAGAAAAAGAAGATAAACAATTGTTCAGGAAGGTGGCAGCATTACAATGTAAAATTACCACCATAGAAGGCCCCTATGCCCCAGGGGAATCCAATCCTCCATACAACCCCAATTGGAACAAAAGCTTACAAGGTAGGGGGAGGGGACTTAGGGGGAAGTTTGCTTATAGAGGCAGGGAAAGAGGAAACCCTCATAGCCATCTATCAGAAGGCAAGCAGATTAGTGAGACACAAAGAGCCCCTACTTATGCAGAATTACAGCAACAGTTACATGCATTGCAGGTATGCCCCAGAAAGGAAACACAAGTAACACCCCAAAAAGAGGTGGAAAGCCTTCAATGTTGACAATTACAAAGCCCCAAAATTTTCACCTATTTCTCTGGATAGGTGCGGGCGCCCTCAAGTGTCAGCATTGATTAGGGGCTGTCAACATACTATGGTTTTAGATACAGGGGCTGCGATTTCCATTCTGCATGACAAAGACCCAATAAAATCAACATGGTCTTCAGGAAAGCAATTAAATCTCCAGAGCTTTGCTGGGCACACTGTCTTATCAGCTCTGTCTAAACCACTGACAATCCAAATTGGAGAGTTATCAGTAAAACAGCCACTTGCCTTAATGTCTTTGCCAAACTAAACCAGCCTCCTGGGGTCAGACTTCTTAATTCCCAATGGATGTATGTTAGACTTGACCAATCTGTTACTATGGCAAGGGGTTCCAAACAATCATTCGAGCACCATAGTGATACCTGATTCACACACAATTGCAGCTATCAAGCGTAACGATTTTACATATGATATCTTACTGATCATAGAAGATCATCCAGACCATGATCTTCTGCAGCCCATGATAGAAAGGCAGCAGGGAGCTTTTGAAACACATAAGCATGACTGTGGAAAGGTAGACACAGTAATACACATTAGTGGGCCAGATGCAGCTCCACAAAAGCAATACCCCTTTCCACAGGAAGCTATCAGTCACATTCAGGAAACAATAGATTCACTGCTAGACCAAAGGGTCATCAGACCATGTGTATCCACAACAAATGCGCCAATATGGCCAAATTCGCAAAAATTCTGACAATTCGTGGAGATTAACAATAGATTACCGCAAGTTAAACATTGTTACCAAAAATTGTGCCCCCACAGTTGTATCTGTCCCGGACATCTTGAGCATGTTGAATCCAAATCACAAATATTTCACAGTGCTTGATATATCGAATGGTTTTTGGTCACTCCCCTTGTCAGAAGAATGTCAATACAAATTTGCATTTACGTTTTTGGGGAAACAATATACATTCACATGTCTTCCGCAAGGATTTCATAATTCTCCTTCTTTATTTCATGCAACCATGAGAGATATTTTTAACTGATTTTTCCTCTCTAAAGAATCTTTTTCAGTACGTTGATGATTTGTTATTAGACAAAGTGAAGAAACATTTGCGGCTAATGGAGGAACTACTGCGGATCCTAGAGAAGGCGGGACTGAAGTGTAATCCCATTAAGGCACAATTGTTAAAAGAATCTGTGTCTTTTCTGGGGATTACAGAAACCGCAAACGGTCGTAAAATAGCAACTGAGAAGGTAAAAACCGTTCTACAATTACCTCTGCCTGTAAGCATCCCCACTCTGAGATCTTTTCTAGGGTTGGTGAATTATTCAAGGGCTTTTATTCCTGAATTTGCCGAAAAGTCTACACCATTATCACACCATGATCTGTTGAAAAAGGATACCCCATGGCACTGAACTGAGCAACACACCAATGCAGTGCAGGAGCTCAAAGAAGCATTAGCGTAAGCACCAGCTTTAGCCAATCCAGATTACCAACTGCCCTTTCACATTGAAACTGCAATATCTGATACAGCCATGTCAGCTGTTATGTCACAGGAAATTCATGGGCAACAGAGACCCATATCATATGCTTCTAAAATATTATCTCCTGTGGAGATGAAGTACTCTCTATGTGAAAAACACCTCCTTGTTACATTTTGGGCACTGAAATACTTCACATACATCATAGGGCTCAACCCAGTCATCTTGCATACAACTCACACTCCTACTAAATTTTTTACTTACAGAGTGAAGGATGGCAATGTATCCAATGCTAGACTGGCCCATTGGGCTCTGTTGCTCCAAGATCGAGACATCACAGTAAAAACACACGAATAAGCCTTCCACCAGGGCCCATGGTTTTAATTACCAGGGAGTACCACATGAATGTGATATCACCCCACAGTCATATGCCCATCAAATCTTTAGACCCCTTTCATCAAACGAAGAAGTCCCAGAAGATGTAGTCCAAATTTTCACAGATGGATCATGTTTTTATGTGGATGGTTCCCCACATGCAGGGTTTGGCATCTTCATTGTTGATCCAAAAGGAAATACACAAATATCCATATGTCGATCATGCCAAGTCAAATCAGCACAATTCACTGAGATGGCTGCAATCGCGCATGCCCTAGAATTAATAAAAGGAGACAAAGAAATTGTCTTATACTCTGACTCGGCTTGGGTGTGTAATGCTCTCACAGAATTTCTGCCCTTTTGGCACACCCACCAGTACATGTCCTCAGATGGGTCTCCACTTAAGCATGCATCCCTTTTGAGATACATTGCCACATTGGTGCAAAAGTTGCCAGTCAAACCATGGGTATGTAAGGTAAAAGGACATTCCACTAGTGCCCCCTACTGGGAACAAAATGAGGTGGCGGATTGCTTGGCCAAACAAGGAGCACAAAGGGGGGAGATCTGGGAAATTCCCTCCAGTTTACAAGATCCAGCCTTGTGCCCCAGTGTTTGCGCCTTCACAAAATCCTGCATTGAAGTGCCTGATATTTCAGACATACAAAGGCAGGATGACAACATTAACTAGTTGCCGACCGCAGATAGCCGAATGACATCATATGACGGCCTCCCAGAACGCGCTCTCCTGCGCGCCCCAGGGGGCGTGCACCCGGCGATCTCCGTGATCGCTGTGTCCTACGGACACAGCTGATCACGTGATGTGGTAAAAGGCCAATCACAGCGGCCTTTTACCACGTGATCAGCGGTGTCCAATGACACGCTGATCAGAGGGAAATGCAAGTGCCGGTTCTCGGCTGCACTTTTTCCTCATGCTGTCAGATCGTGAGGAAAGTACTGCCGAGAACCGGCAGTTGTCAGAGCGGGGATCGGCACCGATCATCAGGGCACTGATGATCAGTACCCTGATGATCGGTGCCCAGCAGTGCTACCCGCAAGTTCTGCCCACCTGTGCCCAGCAGTGCGCCCACTAGCTCCGCCCACCTGTGCCCAGCAGATCACCCACCTGTGCCCAGCAGTGCACCCACCTGTGCCACTCTGCAGTGTCACACACCTGTGCCCAGAAGTGCCATCTACCTGTGCCCAGCAGTGCCACCCACCTGTGCCCACCCACCTGTGCCTACCAGTGCCACCCACCTGTGCCCACCCACCAGTGCTGCCCACCAGTGCCACCCACCAGTGCAGCCCAGCAGTGCTGCCAGTCAGTGCCCAGGGGTTGTGCCAGTCAGTGCCGCCAGTCAGTGCCCAGCAGTGATGCCAGTCAGTGCCGTCTATCAGTACCCATCATCAGTGTCACCTATCAGTGCCGCTTATCAGTGCTGCATATTAGTGCCGCCTATCCGTGACACCTCATTAGTGCTGTCTATCAGTGCCGCCTATCCGTGCCACCTCATTAGTACTGCCTATCAGTGCCCTTTAGTGCAGCCTATCAGTGCCCATCAGTGCCGCCTATCAGTGCCCATCAGTGCTGCCTCATCAACGTACATCAGTGAAGGAGAAAAAATACCTGTTCGAAAAATTTTATAATAGAAACAAAGAAACTTTTTTTTTCAAATTTTTTGCAATTTTTTTATTTATAGCGCAAAAAGTAAAGTGGCCAGCGGCGATTAAATACCACCAAAAGAAAGCTCTATTTGTGAGAGAAAAAAATGATCAAAATTTCATATGGGTACAATGTTGCATGACCGCGCAATTGTCAATCAAAGTGCGGCAGCGCTGAAAGCTGAAAATTGGCCTGGTAAATAAGGGGGTATAAGTGCCTGGTAGGCAAGTGGTTAAAGAAATAATTCAGAAACTGAAAAATGAGACTCAGGAACTATCTGAAGGGAATACTTTGGCAAAATGCATAAAAAGCCTCACACTGTCAGAAGAACAAAAAGTATTATTGCATCATGGAGAGGAAATAACTTGGGTGGTTCTGGAAAATTACAGAAATGAAATGATTTACTTAGTGCATGACCTGCCTACCGGGGGTCATCAAGGGTCAGGAAAAACATTGGAGAGACTCAAGAACATAGGATGGTGGCCTTCTATGATGACAGATGTGAAACGGTATTGTGACAGTTGTATGTCTGTGCACAGGTTAATCCTGCACCAAGGAAGATCAATGCCCCTTTAAGAATACGATTGAAAGAAGGGCCCTGGAATGCCTTACAAATGGATTACATGGGACCCTTGCCAGTCACTTCCAGAAACAACAAATACGTTTTGGTAGTCACAGATCTGTTCTCTAAATGGGTAGAGATCTTCCCAACCAAAAGTAACACTGCACAGAATACAGCTAAGATTTTGGTGGAACAGGTATTCAGTAGCTTGGGGCTCCCATCATCCATAGAGTCAGATCAGGGGTCCCACTTTACTGGAAAAGTGATGAAAGCGTGCCTAGAGATGTTGGGAGTGGAGCAAAATTTGACATCCCATATCACCCAGAATCTTCAGGTCAGGTCTAAAGAGCCAATCGGCAGATTAAAACTATGCTAAAGAAATTTGTCCACATCAACAGTAAAAATTGGGATAATCTATTGCCTTTACTGGCCATGGCCATTCAAGCGGCACCCTCATCCGCTACCCGGTTGACACCCTTTGAAGTGTTGACAGGCAGGCAGATGAGACTCCCAGAACATCTTTGGCTAGAAATGCATACCCCTACCATAGACAGACTTTCCGTGGATAAATACCTCTTAAAACTATAAAAAGCGGTAAAGGAGATCCATGTGTTTGCAGCAGCACACGTGGGTAAGATGCAAAAGAAAGCAAAGTCGTATTCTGACAAAGGGATTCGAGAATGTACTTGGGCGGTAGGAGATAGAGTCATGTTCTTAGAACTCCGTCCTCTGGACAACTGCTTAAGCCAAAAATGGAAAGGGCCATTTCCCATTATTGACAAATTAAGTCCTTCAGTATATAAAATCAGAATAGATGAGGGCAAAAAGACAAGAGATAAATGGGTTCATGTGAACCAACTGAAGCTATTACATGGAGTCAAGGACATCAGCTAAAATGATCCGTTTTCTTTCCTTTTAGAGCCATGAAGTCGATATGGATTATTCTCATGCTCCTTCTGTTTAGAAATACCATCATGTCAGGGACCATCGCGACGCATGGGTCTGCACATGCGTAGGTGTCTGTCAAGACATGCAGGCAGCAGGGCACTAGGACCCAGGCGCACCCGTCACCTATGACGGTGCTGGGCAGGCACTAGGACCTAGGCTGCGCCTGTCAGGTGCAGGGCAGGCTACTTAAACCAGCCCTGCACAGACACAAGTTGCCATATGGTCTGATCTTGTTCCTGTGTTCCTGTATTCCCGTTGTTTGAGATTCGTTGTTGACGTGCGTGGACCTGACCCCTGCTGACTTCTCCTGCTCTGACCCCTGGCTAAGTTTGACCTCTCTTTTGGATATCCCTACCTGATCTGAACTACTGGTACCGACCCCGGTGAGTGACCTGACTACCCTTCTGCCTGCTGCCTTGTACTACGCTGACCCCTCTGTTACCGACCTAGCCCGTTTGACCACGCTATTGCTCAGCCATCCATCCAACCCGCACGGATTAGCTGCTACTCTCCAGACCTGTCTGCCTCTTCATGTCAGGCTCTCTACCTGTCATTACCTCAGGCTCTCTACCTGTCATTACCTGTGATTCCTCTACCTCAGGTGGGTGTACTCAGGGGCCGCGACCTGGTCACTGTCCACTCCAAGCCCATCCCCACCATCAGGGGCTCTGGTGAACAAGCGGACTGGGGCTTAGACTCTGTGCCCTGGGGAATCCTGTCCTGTGGACTGCTAGAGTACACCAGGTGGTCCATAACACATGGAAGAGGAGAATGGACCACTTATTAGCGTAATCGTTGACGAAAATACGGTCCACTGTCAAGAGGGGGAATCCGTGTTGCTGCCAGTGGCAATTAAAGGGACTGAGGGGAAACAAGTGTCCTGGTGGAGTCCCATCAATAATCACCTAGTCTGTGTCAATGGCATTGCCGGGAATGTTATGGACTACCGCGATAGGATAATGGGTTTTCCTAATGGTTCATTGTTGATTCGAGATACACGGTTAAGTGATGCTGGAGAGTGGAAATACTCCTTTGTCATTTCAGTCCCTTTGTCCAGCAACACTCAACTATCCACTCTTCAATATGTCCCAGGAAAAGTTACCTTGTATGTGTCCCCAAAGGCCAAAACCTCTGCTTTTACAACCTTGACAAAAAGCTCAGCTGCAACCCTTTTTTCCTCCGAACCAACATCCGTGGACTGCCCATCACTGCAAGAGGGACCGCCTAGTGGCCTAACTGCGACATCAATCCCCGGAACACTCTTTAATAATGTTAAGTTCATTCATGTGCCCGTTGTGCTTAATTTGTCCAAGTGGAACATGGCCGAATTTGGCTCATGTGCCCGGACAGATGTGTCACTATTTTATTCTTCCTTGCTGGTAGATTTAATTGCCTCCCATGCCAGCCGAACTCAGGATCCTTTTGCAGAACCAAACATCTCTCCCCAAAGGGGCATTTTCCGATCGAGAAAGTTAAATGGCTTGGACAGTCTAATTGGGTCCATCCCGGGACTTTTTGGATCCGGTATGTCATTTTGGAACCGAGCCGATTTAGCTGCGATTCGCAGACATATCGGTAATTTTGAACAGAAAGAGTCGGCAAGTGCTGAAACCAGTTCTGCAGGGTATTGAGGGGCTGGCAGAGGAGGAAAGGTTTACAGTTTATAATATGAATGACATTGCCCAGTTGTTTGAACGGACTCAGCAGAAAATCAACGAAATCATAACAATAAATAATCAAAGGGCCAGGGAGAACAATATGGGCAAAGAGGTAATATGCACTGCAACGAAAGTTACCAATGTTATAAGAGACATCCAAGTTGGCAAAATCCCTGACATTTTAAGAGATAAAGATCTTACCCAATGGTACTGTACTCACACTAATATTAGTGGAGGAATGAATGTACATCTAGGAGATAGATGCAAACCTTTGCCAGACTCCACAATTTGGAATCTAGGGTTAGTGACATCACACCCAAATAGAGGTCCGTAGGATTGCCTGAAGAGCCAGTCACCAGTGCCTACCGTGACCTCCTATACACATCCTTCACCATGTCGCTGCCAGTGTTCCATCCTCAAGATGACTACTTCGACAAGATGGCGTCAGTACACTCCCTTGGGTACCTCGAGAATGATGTGTACAAAGAAAGGTTGCACCTCCCCGAAATGCTCATTCACGTCCAAGAGGGATGGAAAGCACCTCACACTGCCTGCTGCACTGTCAAAGAGAATAGGTACCTATGTCGTTGTGATGTGTTTGAAATCGACACTCCAGTCTGTGTTTTGAGCAATGACCAGGATCCCACAACAGAAGAATCCAGGGAGCCTCATTTGCAAAGCCCACGCCAAGCCAACCAAGAAACTAGTCTTAGTGAGATGGAAGCCAACTGCCTGGTGAAGTTGACGAAATGGAGAGCACCAAGAACAAAGTCACCACGATTGTGTTGTTACCAATCATAAGACATTCCTCTATGGGGTCAGTCATGTCCAATACCCTATCCAAATTTTTGCTTTGTTCCACACGAGTACACTATTATTATTGGGGAAAACCGTAGTAACTCCAATACCACAGCTGAATAAAGATTATGTTGTAGATAGTGTCCCCGATGTCCCAGATCCTACACCATACATACCCCATTTTGATATTAAAGTTGATAAACTGTCAGTAAACCTTCACAATCTACTCGCAAGGAAGGATACACATATAATACAAATTAGTAACAATATGGTAAAGACGGGAAACAGTTAAATGAACTTTTACATGATGGGGATTTTAGCTTAGTTACCACTAGGACCTGGGTGGAGATAGGAATAAAAGGTCTCCTTGTGTTACAGGGTGGGTTACTGTTCATCATGATGGTTATGGTAATATATCTGAGTAGACTTCTAAGATGGCAGAGGGAGAAACTCAAATTGCTAATGGAGATTACACATAAACAGTTACTTGAATAGCGTGAGTGTGGCCTAGCCTCACTGGCCACAAGGGGGGATCTGTTGACTTATGAGGGGTTTATGTATAATCTTCATCAGCAACTGTAAATAGATATTTTTATAACTATATGTTAACCAAGTTACAAAGCTGGGAATATCAGAACTTGGTTTGATAGCGGTGTGTTGTACATAGACATTGGAACAAGCGATCAAGTTGTAGATATAGCTTTGTATTGTATTGGAGGAATGTTTGGTGTGTAAACATGTGCATGCCACAAGGAATGCTATATTATGT